CGCTCCTGATATATACTAGATGTTTGTGTGCGTTTGTATGGGTGGTTATGGTTATCGTTATGGTCGTTCGCTATATAGTATAAAGTAAAGTCACACACGAACACCCGTGTAGATAAAAACAAAGTCAAGGTATAGAATAAGGGTGTTTAAAGTTTAATTGACAAGCTTTCGAGATAACATCTCTTCATCAGTGTATATATATGTGCGTGTTCTTTTGTCGTCCATATTCATGGCAACGCGCGAATTGTGTGATTCATTCATTTTTGATTATCTATTAACGCATTGTATTAGTTTTTGATTTTTTGATTCTATTCCAATGTCTGCTGACCTGATGAAGAAATGTAATCTCGAAAGCTTGTCAATTAAACTTTAAACACCCTTATTCTATACATTGACTTTGTTGTTATACAGATAGATAGATACATTTCTGCGACTGTGACGTAATATATTACAGTGAACGCATCTGTTAACGACCGCATATAGCAAAGCAGCGATGAAAGCATGGGAAACAAACAAATCTAAATTAATATGATCTATTTCGTGGTCCGGCCTGAATCTGTCACAGATCTATATACGATCACTGTGTCACAAACTGCCAGCCGAGCGAACAGGAAACAATTAATTTTAATCTGTTTTAAAGCAGAGTATAGTTTGACATCATAAACAATTTTATCTATGTTCGAAGCGCAGTACAATTGAACAAAAGTTACAATACCGTAAGCAGTTCAACTAATGAGAAGAAGATGAGTAAATGCGATTTCGATTTGGAAAACAATCAAGCAAATCCTGGCTGTAAAGCTATCGCCAGTGCGTATGAAGCAACATTGAACACAGAATTTACGTTATATAGCGAAGCAGACACCCGCGAAACGGGCACTATAGAGATCAAACAACTTTGCTGTGCAACCACTCCTTCCTCAAAATCTGTATCATTTCATCAGGAGCACAGACACTAATAAAATGATGGCGAATGAACCCAAATTATAGTTAAAGCATACTACCAAAGTTTTAATGTTGATGTACTTTATATCGTTAATTTCACGTGTGCGTGTCTGTTTGTTTCTTACTCTGCTTATCTGTGTCTGTCTGTTTGTCCGTCCGTCCGTCCGTCCGCCCGTCCGTCCGCCCGTCCGTCCGCACGCATTAAAGCGCCACAATATATATATACGTTCTCCTGTCGTCTATATTCAGCTCGCGAGTGCCAGTAGAACGACCAGACGATGTATGAGGTGGAGAAACGTACACAAGTACAATAGAGTCGCTAATTTCCACGCGGAAATTGTCAGACTTGTGGCTTTTGGCGATATCGGACAACAGCCACGGCGGCAAATACTGTGACAGATGTGAACATCGTAATACGACTATGTTTAGTCGCAAAGTAGCAGTAAATGTACGCGGGTCATATAGAAATTAAAGGCAATGTACGCGTCATGGGTAGGAAACGCAACCGTGTAACGGCAATTATTTTTGTATTCATTATAATATCACTTATCAGCCGAGCTTCTAAACCTGTCAGATACACGCACGCGAGTGCCATGGCCATGCATTACGCATGTTTTAAGTTGAATGTCAACGTAGTTTTACGAAATGCTTGATCGATGTTGAATCGAGGTTGAATCAATGTGTTTTGCCCTACTGCCTCCAGGTGGACCATATCGGGGCATCAGCAATAGGATAGACAGCGGTTTCTGTAGCAAACTCTGCTCAGCTACCCTACTCGTTTACGTTGCTCGCTTAATTGTTCACCTTATCCCGCGTACATATGCCCGTAACTATATATGTACATGTGGCTGTACGTGTACATACGTGTACATACGTGTACAGGTGAACACTCCGTTTACTTTAACAAAGCAATATTTTTCACGCTTTTATCAAAAAGTGCACAATTAATCTGATTATGGCTCGTAGCTTCTGTCATAATAAGACGTGTTTACAGGCGATCTTCCACTGATTATAATCTGAATTCTTCTTACCCGTCTCTAGTCCGTCTCACGTCGCCAACCAACGCAGACCCGCACGCAGCCTCGTCGTATTATGATATATATATATATATATATATCTCATCGTTGACTTGTCTGAAGCCACGATGCCAGCGACTATCAATCCGACCATACTAAGTCACCAGTAGTAAAGACCGCAGATAATACCCGTATATACGATCTTTCCTAGAAGAACCGCGGTGACAAGCAGATTCAGATAAATGAAACTTCCAGAAAAATAAATAAATTTCCATAAATAAAACTCCCAGAACCAAACAGGGATCTGAAATGAATCTACCGTACAGTGTAGAAACGTATCTGCTCAATAGTAAAAGAATATACCTAGCGTGAATCCGGGCAGCAGGTCGGTGTTGTCGTTGATTTCATTGACAGCGTAGATGACGGCCTCTAGTAGCTGTATTCCATCCTCGCCCTGGAGTCGTCCGCACTGCCCTAGTCTGTCGTCACGCTCGTGTATGGGAACCATGACGCCTTCAACAATGGCAGACGAACACCGGATT